CATTTTGGCCATTCTAACTGGAGTAAGGTGGTATCTCAGTGTGGTTTTGATTTGGATTTCCCTGATAGCTAATGATGATGAACATTTTTTCATGTGTCTGTTAGCCATTTGTATGTCTTCTTCAGAGAAGTGTCTGTTCATCTCTTCTGCCCACTTTTTGACTTGATTATTTGTTTTTTGGGTGTTGAGTTTGAGAAGTGCTTTATAGATTTTGGATACCAGCCCTTTATCTGTAGTGTCATTTGCAAATATCTTCTCCCATTCTGTGGGTTGCCTCTTTGTTTTGTTGACTGTAAAACAGAATTTCTGGGCAAGGCACATATGCATCAGTGTTTTTAAAGCTCTCCAGTGATTTCAATGTGCAGTCAAGGTGGAGGATCATTGCCCTGGGTGAAGGTTTGCTGCCTGTCCTCATTTGAACATTTACTTTTAGGACTACTCTAGTAGAGACTGGACTTTATCTTGATTAAGGCAGGCATAACTTCCTTATATAAAGGTTATAACTTATTCATCTGGTATCCCCAGCATCCTATCTGATACACAGCAGGGGCTTGGTGGTCATTTTCTGAAATAAATCCAACAAATTAAACTGAATGAAATGAATCAAGGTGTGGGTGAATAAAATTTTCACCAAACTTTAAAAATTCTACTGGATTCTGCAAGCTTATATGGCACCTGGGCACAATGTTACGCTGTGAGAGGTATAGAGATGAACAAAATACAGCCCTTCTCTTCCAGTGTTTGTGATCCGGTGGAGGAGGCAGATACAGACAAAAGTATCTTATAGTCAAGCAGACAATGGGAGTGCACAAAATATAAAAAGGGAATACAAGAAAAATTAGTTCTGAATGGCAGAACCTGGGAGGTATCCTTAAAGATTCAGTATCTGAGATTGGTCTTGAAGTATTGCTGAGACTTGCCCAGGAAGAAATTAGGGAAGTGGGCAGTTGCCCTAGAAGCATAGGGCAGTTTTGCCAGCAGAAGCCACCCACATCAGACGGGGCTTTCTCTAACCTTCATGGAAGACTGTAGGGTAGACACGAAAGGCTCCTTTTCTTTCCGATTTCCTTGTTACTGCTCTCATTTGTCAAGTATTTTGCCTCTGGTTTATTAATTCTACCTCCTGGTGCCTCAGCTGATTTCTTCCAGGAGAAGTTTCTCATTAGCATTTCTATGGGGAGCATCTGCCACCCCATCTATCCCTATTAACTGATGGCTAGGGCAATGGGACTGACTGAGAGGGGAATTTTAATCCCCTCGTCATGACTCATCTCTTTTCTAATTGAGAATGCTAGGTCTAAAGTCACAAGTGGCTGCCCAGCAAAATCCATCCTTAACGTTAAAAGTGGTAACAGAGACATGCTTCTCAATTTTATAACATCACCTATGTAAAATGAGTGTAATAAAAATTAATCAATTTCATGATGGTGAATAATGAAAGATATCTGAGATAGCACTTAATGCAAAAATCCCAAGCCAGTGTGGATATGTTATGAATTAGATGAACTGTTGAATTGGGAAGGTTTCTCAAAATCATAGTGTCAAAGGACATTTGATATTATGTACTGACTGTATATTGTAGGAGAAAAACTAATGAGTATGTATATGTCTCTGCATGCTGACTGTATATTTTACATTATATACCAATATGTTAAGCTGATGGATTATGTGTCCTTTCTCTATTTAAGCCAACTGCTTGCATTGATGTCATGTGACAGATGTCACTTGGAAAGCCCATGAGATGAACCAGTCACCATGGTGTAAGCCACCATGATTTATGTAGAGTGGCAGAAGAAAAGGGTTTGTAAATCAAATTATCTTTGAAATGGAACCCAACCTGGCCTCTAACAAGGCAAAGTAAGACTCATCTATGTCAGCCATGGGGCATACTTAGATTCAGGAGATATTTGGAATCATAGCAAGGAAAAGAATATGAGACAATAGGGAAGGAAATTCAATGTTCCAGATAAGCCTACAGTTCCCAGGCATTTTTTTCTTTTTTCTTTTCTTCGTTTTTTTAAAGATTTTATTTATTTATTGGACAGAGAGAGACACAGCGAGAGAGGGAACACAAGCAGGGGGAGTGGGAGAGGGAGAAGCAGGCTTCCCGCCGAGCAGGGAGCCAGATGCGGGGCTCGATCCCAGGACCCTGGGATCACGACCTGAGCCAAAGGCAGTCGCTTAACGACTGAGCCACCCAGGCACCCCCATTTTTTTTCTTTATGTGATATTTGATTAATTGATTATCTTATTTCTTCATGTCTACTTTCACCCAAAGTGCATTTCCCTATTATTGGTTAATTTTTCTTCTGAAACAAAAAACAATGCTAAATTTCTCATCAACTTTGTCATGCACTTAAATTGTCCATTAAGGAAATTGATGTCTCTTAGCAACACTCATTCTCTTAATGCTTCCAAACCCTTCAGATTACACAGCAAAATGGAACTGCTGGCCCCAAAGTCACATTCATAATTAAATTTTACAGAAGACCCAAATGAGAAAAAAATTCTTTTGAGGTGCTCAGAGATTTTTTTTTTTTGACAGGTTGGTGGAGTTCTGATAGTCATTAAAAATAGTCATTCTCGCCAGCTGCAACAGCAGAGCCTTCCCCCATTCAATCCCATCACTTGCAGTATGAGTATAATACTAACTGTAAAGCCTGACATGCTTACTGTACAGTGAAGGTGGCGTTTTGGGGGAAGAAGCCATATAGAACAAAGGTGCAAGCCCATAAATTCGGAGTGGGTTGTATCTGAAGGTTAGGTCATCCCCTGACTGTCTAGCCAATTTTTCACGGACAAAGCAAGTCCTACTGACTTGGAAACATAAACTGAGTAGGATCACCAAAGGAGATTTGAGAATTTGGGATCTCTCTTGATTGGCATTGACTCTCTGGAGGTGAGAAGGGGTAGTTTCCTGCATGGTGGGTGTTAAGGTTCCACCTGCCACAGGGTAGTAGAATGAGAGTAGGAAGATGAGGAGGCCAGATCAGAAATCTGTGATGTTGGGCCAATCTTAGGGTTCTCTGGGAATGAAGTAGGGCCTGCCTAGGAAACAAGAAAGCCATGGCAGAATCACAAAACTACATCTTGGCTTTGTTTTTTATGCCCCTTGCTTATTTGCTTCCTTCTTTTCTTTTTGGTCCTCCGTTGGTAGTAGCATAAAGATATTGTGCAAATGCTGCTCCTGATGGCTATGAACCAACGAAAAGGATCTTGCCCGACCCAAAGCCATAAAAAAAGTAGTGCACTCCTAGGGGACCACTGTGGTCGTGATAACAATAAACCAAGAGAGAAATGCCAAGTGAGAGGTGGAATTTGGGAAGATGGAGTAGGAGCCAAATGTTAGCTGCCCCTTCTCATTGGGAAATGCTTTCCAGAGTTAAAACCTGGGAGAGAGATGAATTTTGTCTTAAAAAGAGAGGATATCTATCTCTGTTATGCTTCCTTCAGCATATGAGGGAGTGGTTGTTACGTTCACTGGAGAAAGACATCAGTCTGATATGAAGCTACATACAGGGTCTTGGCAAAAGACACTAACTCAGCAGTCCTCCCAACCACAGTCTCCTGCAGGAAGGAGGCAACCGGCTGTGGCATTGATGAAGGACCCCATAAGCCACATTTTGAACCCCTCTAGCTCAATTATTCATCCTGCACATCTGTTTCCCCAGAGATCCTAAAGCCCAGTGTTACACATTCAGAGTCAAATGAGATCTCTTAGTTGCTTGATCTGGGTTGGAACATAAAGGGAGGATGGAGAGCTAAGCATTCAGAAATATATATTGGATGTACAACGGGTGAGAAAGCAAGTTGGAAGGGCTGAGGCTGCAGCACAGGGAGAATTCTAGAAGGATGGAGAGAGGGAGAGGGAAGGGAAGAGGGAGGGAGGGAGAAAGATAAGGAGGGAGGGAGAGAGAGAGAGAAAATGGATATGCGCTTTCTTGAAGCCATTCATTTACAAGGAATTTAAATGTGCTAAAGAGGGGGTTCTTGGTGGTAAAAGAATGAGCAACACAACTGGAGAACATAAAGGGAAAGGAAAGAGGAAACGCATCAATAGGGGAGAAGGCTGGAGGTATCTAGGAAGTGGAAATCAGAATACTGAGGCATCATGCACAAGGTTGTAATGGCAGTAAGACATTCTCATCACCTACTATGGGCCAGACATAATTCTCCTCGGCCATCTCATTGTAATTCTCACAATGTCTAGTGCAGTGTCTGACATAAAGTAGGTGCGCAAAATATGTTAAATATTAATATTTAATTAATAAACGAACGAGCAATTCTAAGAGAACGATCTATTACCAATTGCATCTTACACCTAAGAACCTTAGGCCCAGAAAGGTTAAGAACAGTGCTCAGTGTGTCACAGCTACTAAAAGGAGGAAGGAATCTGACTTCAAAGCCTGATGGTAGAAGGAGGGTGATCTAGAAGAGCCCTGCGGGGAATCAAGAAAAGGGTGTGGTGCTTGGATGTCTCCCAGGGACTGAGAGAGGGAGGGAAGAATGAAAGGCCAAGTGAACTGGGCTAGGGAGGAGGGGATTGGCCACTGGGAAAGCATTCTTCTAGGAGGACGGGGCCCCGCGGGAAAGCACCATGGCCCCGGGCCACAGCTGAGCCAGCGAGGGGCAGCGTCCAGGCTGAAGCCGCTGGAGAAGTGGGTGGGGCGGAACGGCACCGCCTGTGAAGAAACTGCAAAAGGGTCTCTGTTGAGCAGGCGGGGATCTGAGGTGGGGCGGCGATGGGGCAACGTGGCCAAAGTGGTAAAGGGAAAGGCCTGGGCAGGCCGGAATAGAAAGTACTAACAGCCTTCGCGTGAGAAAGAGCAGAAAGGAGTCAGCCCTGGAAGGGTGTCTGGGATGCGGCCGAGGAGAGGGTGTGGTCTGGAAGGGGAGGGGCTGCCTGTGGGGCCGGCGGTGCGGGGAACGAGCCCCGGGCGGCCTCCGCGAAAGGGGAAGGGTCGCCTGCCCCGTCGCCTGAGCGGCGGCCCGCGTCTCACCTGTAGGAGCTGCCCGCCGCGGTCGCCACCTCCTCGCGGATTTGCCTGTTGAGGGCGTCCGCCGCTGCACGCCCCTTGCCAGCCTCGGGGCCCGCGGCCTGGACCGGGGCCTGCGCTGCGGGCAGCGGCATCTGCTCCGGCGCCTGTCCCTCGGCGCGGCGCAGCATCCAGGCGGGCCCGGGCTTCTTGCGTGTGTCGCGCTCGTCCGCACCGGAGGGCTTTCCGGCTGCGGGGCCACCCGCTCCGCCAGGGGTCGCCTCCTGCTCCGCGGCCTCCGCGGCGGCCTGCGCCGGCCAGCGCTCCTGGCTCTGCGGCCCGCGCTTGGACGCCCCGAGAATCGGCCCCGAAGTCTGGGAGGACGTGGAGATCTGCATGGGCTTGGGGATCCACGGGTGGTCCCCGCGGCGCGGCAGCGGCCAGGCGCGGAAGTCCTTCTGGTACTGGGTCTCGCGCTCGAAGGGCGCGTCGGAAAGCTGGTACTCGCTGCGCGGCCGGCAGCTCGGCTCGGGCCGCTGCACCTTCCAGGCGCGGTAGTCCTGACGCATCACCGAGTCCGCGGGGCCTGCGCTGGAGGTGGAGCCGGAGCCCGGGCCGGGGCCGGGCCCGCCCCGGCCGGGGGCACCCGCCGCCTCGCGTTCGCCGCTAGGCCCGGGCGCCGGCCCCGTTGCCCGGGCAACTGCATCCGACTCGCCCTGGGCCGGCTGCGTCTCTATGGCGACCGCCCGCGCCGAGGGGGGCGCGTGCGCCGGCTGCGCCTGCTGCTGCGGCGGCGGCGGCGGCGGCGGCTGCGGCGGGGCGCTCGGGGCCTCGGTGGCCTCCGAGTACTTGGTGAAAACCAGCGGCACGGCGATGTCAGCCTTGTCCAGCTGGTTCCAGAAGCGGGCGATGCAGCAGGCCCGCGTGATGCACGGCCACGCCATGATGCTAGCTGCAAAGCTGGCCTGCCTTCCTTTTTGTGATTCTAAAGCAAGTCTCTAATCTTACTTCAGTCCCTCGGCCCTGGACCAGACTGGTTCCCTGTTTTTCCCTTGGTGGCCTGAGCTACCTCGCTCTCCTCTCTCAGGGAGCACCCAGGAAGGTCAAGCTATCACTGAGATAAAGTCCGTAAAGTCCCCCGATTACCGGCTGCAAACGCCTCCGGGAGCCGCCTGCAAAGGTCTTGGGAGCGCAGTCTGCTGCGGGCACCGATGGGTGAGCCACACGGCGTCCCGGAGTCCCCGGGCGAGGGCGTCTGGGTCGCGCCCCTCCCTGCTGCGGCGGCGGCGCGCAGACCCCGGCCAAGCGAGGCGACGCGAGGCGAGGTGGCTGCGGGCTTAAGCCATGGCGTAGAGGAAGGGCCGAGCAGGGTGGCCTCAGGGGCCACGGACGAGGCTCTATTCTTCCTCTCCGAGGCGTCCCGTCGCAGCCAGCCACCTAGCAGGGCTCGGAGGCGATCACCTCCAGCGGAGACCGAGCATTGCTACAGACGCTGCTCCCAATGATGCTGCAGCCACTGCCGCTGCCGTCTCTGCTGCAGGGAAGCGGCCCCACCCTTATCTACTGCTCGGCGGGGGGAAAAAATCCAGGCAAGACGCTGGGAGAAAGCGCGCTGCAGAAAAAAATCACCTGCTGTCGTCAGCGCGCGCTGCCGGGAACTCGCCCTCCCTCTTCCCCCCAAGGCCCCCCCCGCCCCGCGCCCCGCGCTCTGGCAGCTCCTCTCTCCTCGGCTCCTAGGCAACCGCAGAATCTGGGGCCCAGGTGGGTTCCAGTCCCAGGCTGGTGACGGCTTGCTGTCCTTACACTGGTCCCTTCCCCTCCGGGAGCCTCAGGCTCCTCTTTTGTAAAATAGGGCCAATCATGGAGGAGGGGGGATTCAATTTTTAAAATACGAAGGATATCCCTAGTGAAATGTCTGTCCCAGAATAGACGCTTTTTAAAAAAGAAAGATGGTGTTATTGGCCAGTTACTGGGCGGGATCTGAACTCAGTTTGGCTGGCTCCTGATCCAAGCCCCCCTTGTCAGTCATGCACAGACCTTGTTCGGATGTGTAGGGATGTGAGTCCCCAGGCTGGTGGGGCCCTGGCTGTTCCTTTATTAGAGGACCTTTGGGGGAAGGGTGTCTTAGAGCCTCCCAAGAACTACCCAGTCCCTATTCAACCCAGGGCCCATACTGGGGAGAGTCAGGGAAAAGAAAATTCTTGGAAGGGACCTAAGTGTGGAGGCTGGGGGGGTGGGGGTGGAAAGGAAACAAGGGGACAGTGTCCTAGGACAGGGTAGGGCCTGATGCACAGGGAATTACTGGCATGTTCCTGACCCCCGGCTTTTGCCCTTCCTCTACCTAGGGGGCACAGCAGACTTTGGAGTCAGACAGGCTTGATTTGGATCTGACACTGTGTCACTTGGGCAAGTTGGGTCATCCCTGGGCCTCAGTGGCCTCATTTGTAGAATGGAGGAAATAAGAGCTACCTCAAAGTGGTTTTGTGAAGAGAGTTAAGGACTCAGAGCGGAAGCTTTGAGTCAAGTCAAGTCCACAGTGATTCAAATTCTGGATTTACATTCCTTAGCTGTATGGCCATGGACATATCACTGCACCTTTTATCTCTGAACAGGGGTACCAATTCTGGACTTGCGGGGTTGTTTTGAGAATTAAAATGGGATAATGCACTAAAAATGCTTACCACAACATCTGGCATGTAGCAATGGCTCGATGAATGGTAGCTATTAGTATTCAAAGGACCCAACCGGGAAAGCCTAGATGGAGCTTCCCAAGCAGGGCAGCCACTTGGATACCTTCTCCAGGAAGACCTCTTGTTTTTCCAACTACTTTTTTGGCCTCTCCTTGATGTCCCTCCATTTATGTTTCCTGCATTGTCTTCTACTCCTTATCCCTAGCAACATTCACTGATCTTCAGCTCTGTTTCTCTCCAAGATAGGCAGAGTTTTCAGCATCGAGTAAGCTGGGGTCATTGGTGTTTCTGGGGAAGAAAGTCATTTATGTGTTTAGATTGGGAACTGACCACAAGACACCGCTGGGTTTTTGGTGTTTTATAACCTTAGAGTCAAACAGGATGAGAAGGCAACTCTGATTAGTCAATTATCTGTTGAACTTCCTTCTACTTGGGTCTTTGTCTTTTTATGATTTGATTTGAGTTCCATAAATAAAATGATGCCTGGCAGTGTTTTCAAGTTATTAGGAGATACATTTCTACAAACAAGATAATCTGGTCTGACCCTCAATTCTGTAGAACTCTGTGGGATTTGGCTGATGTCTTTCCAATAATGATTTTCAAGGCAACTAGAAATTGGAGGAGGGAACTGTGTGTTCATTGAGACCTTACTCTTCTTTCATTTAGCAAGTCTCATCTCCTGATGCCCACTCTGTGCCCTGGGGACTGAGGAACACAAATGAATTCCAGCTCTGTGGGAGCCCTCAATTAGAAGGGTGTGTTATGGAGAACCAGAAGACAGACAAATAAATAATTAGCAAACAGTATGGTCTATGGTCAGCATAACAGAGGTTCATTCGCAACGTGCTGAATGAATGACTAAGGAGACTTCCTATTTAAAATTCGTATTTAAAATCTGAAGGATACTTTAGTGAAATGTCTGTCCCAGAATAGACTCTCTTTAAAAAGAAAGCTGGTGTTATTGGCCAGTTACTGGGCGGGATTTGAACTCAGTTTGGCTGGCTCCTCATCCAAGCCCCCCTTTAACAAGTCTTGTCTCCTGATGCCCACTCTGCCCACTTCCTATCAGAAGTGTAAGTAAGAGAGTTCCAGGTCACTTTATCATCAATATCACCTTCTATATTCATTCTTTTGGATTTTTAAAATACATTCATTGGTACAACCTTATTGAACCATCCAATGGCCCAATAGGATTGATAAATCTAATGGTTATCAGTTAATGTGCCTTGCTCAGCATCCATTCTGATGATGACAGCACCTCATTATTTGGCTTTTGGGGACCACTCTTCTTACTTTCAGTTCATATGGTTTGGATGGGATTAACCCTACTTAACCCACCTTCCAGAGCTGACTATGTGACCCACACCTGTTTACCAGGGCATTGCATCCCCCTGGCCAAAGTGACTAGTTTAGTGATGGACATGTGATCCACATTGGAGCCATTAGAAGAAATCCTAGACTTCAGCTGGAGCTATCTGTAAGGAGTCACTCTCTTTTTTTACTGGAATTGCTAAAATGAGAGACCATGAGGATAGTGTTGTTAGTGATCATCTTTGCCATCAGTGGGAGTTGGGTGTGGGGGGAGCTGCTTGCCCAAGGTTGAAGCAAATACAGAGAAAATCAGAAGAGGACACAGGATTCTGGTAATGTCTGTGAAGACTGCAACTTGTTTCCCAAAGCCCATTCTCACCTTCTTCCCTTTAATAACAGAAGCCTCAAGGTTTTAGTTGGATTCTCAATCACCCAGCAAGAGACTTTGCAGCAAAGAGCAATCATACGAACTTCCAGGTCACTTTCTTAAAGAAAGATGAAGTGTTCAACTTCATCTTTCTCCCTTCCCAAAGGGTAGAATGTGGACGTGGTAGAGGTGAATTATCATCTGGGTAGTTAAGATGACTATGACTTGGTGGTTAAGAACATTCCGGTGCCAGGATTTAACCCTAGGTAGGGAAGGGTAGCAGAACAAGATGGAAAAAACCTATCTTGGGTGACCTCATAGGATGGAGCTGCCTAACCGCCTCAAACCATTTGATTGCTCCTTGAATACTTTGTGAGAAAGGAAGAACACTTCTCTCTTGTTTGAACCACTGCTTTGAAGGTCTCTGTTTTAGTATACTAGTCATTTGTGCATTTGAATCTGGCCATGCTTAAAGTAACTTGAGGGATATGAAAACAGCATGGGACTAAAATACTGGAAAATAATATCATGTCTGATGGAAGGGAGTGAACAGATTTCAAGTATCCTAAAGTCCTTATTGTTTGTAAGGAGAGTAGAGGTACTGATTAACTGATTAACAAAAGTGTTTATCGACTTCAAAATGCACATTAAAAGAAAGAAAAGGGGATATGGAAAACTTCATTAAGACCAGAAAAAGAGTAAAAATAAGCAAAGGAAAAAACATGGCAAATAGCAAATACAATATAAAGTGATATAAATATTTCCAAATATATTAGTGATCGGAGTAAATGTAAATAATCAAAATTTCCAGTTAAAAGATAGAGAATGTCAGATTAGAGAAAAACACAAAACAAAGCAAAATGCAACTATACACTGTTTTTATTAAAACATACTGACACATACAGGGCACCTGGGTGGCTCAGTCAGTTAAGCTTCCGACTCTTGGTATCGACTCAGGTCACGATCTCAAGGTGGTGCACTCAGCACGGAGTCTGTTTGAGATTCTCACCCTCTCCCTTTGCCCCTCCCCCCACTTGGGTGTGCTCTCTTTCTCTCAAATAAATAAATCTTAAAAAAAAACATACTGAGGGGTGCCTGGGTGGCTCAGTTGTTAAGCGTCTGCCTCCAGCTCAGGTCATGATCCCAGGGTCCTGGGATCGAGTCCCACATTGGGCTCCCTGCTCCGCGGGAAGCCTGCTTCTCCCTCTCCCACTCCCCCTGCTTGTGTTCCCTCTCTCGCTGTGTCTCTCTCTGTCAAATAAATAAATAAAATCTTAAAAAAAAAATACTGACACATAAACATGGGGGAAAACATGATGGGAAAAGATATAGTAGAAAAATACTATAACCAAAAGAAAGTTGTACAATTACATTACTATCAGGCAAAATTGGTCTTAAAACAAAAAGCATTACTGAGGATAAAAATGTTCATCACAGGGGAGCCTGGCTGACTCAGTTGGTGGAGCGTGTGACTCTTGATCTCGGGGTCGTGAGTTCAAGCCCCATGTTGAGTGTGAAGATTACTTAAAAATAAAATCTTAAAAAAAAAGATCATCACATAAAAATAGAAGAAACAATTCACCCAAAATATATGGTATGGTTTGCATCTAACAATATAGAGTCAAAATATATGAAGCAAAACTTGGTAGAATTTTAAGAAGAAATGCACAAATTCATCATCATCATTAGATTTTTTTTTAAGCACATCTAAATAACTGGTAAAACAAACACATAAATTGTTGTTAGGAACGTAAAAGATTTCAACAATTAATAAAGTGGATCTAATGGACCCTGCATCCAACAATTAGAGAATATTCATTCTTTCCAAACTTATAAGGAATGTATAAAAATTGACCACGTACTAGGCCACAAAGCAAATATAAACAAATACCAAAGACAGACAAATCCCTTTTTCTGGTGACAGTACAATGATATTAGGAACCAATAACATAAGATAGTCACAAACCTCTACATATTTAG